CCTCGGAGGGCTCGGCAGGCCTTCCCAGCATGCTTTTCTGCAGGCTTTTTTGGGGGCAGGGGGGCCCTCCTCGCCGCGGCCGCACTCGCTCCGGGATCCCTGGACAGAAGAGGCGCTCCCGGACGGGTCAGAGGGTCGTCGGAAGCCCAGCGTCGGCGTCGCCGACGCGCCCACGACCCGGACGACTCGAGGATGCGTGCCGATGTCTGGGCGGGGCTGATCCCGCCAGCCAGCCCCGAAGGTCGGCACCCTTCCATCGATCACCGGGCGCGTTCCACTGCTCGCAAAGTGCCTACTCGCAGACGCCCGAGAAACACCTGTTTGTTTCGCTGTCATTCATCGTAGATTCCCCCCGCGAAGGATCCAGGCGAGTTGCGAGGAGCTACTTTGCGAGCGAGTAGTGGAACGCGCTCCTCTCATCAAGGGCGGGTCTCGATTCGACCGGTCCCGAGGGTGCGAGCAGTTCGACCGAGCTGCGCTGAAGGGCGGCCTCCGGGCGGCCATGGCCTCCCGCGGGGCATCACGGGCCCCTGGCCCCTGCGGAGGAGGCGGGCCCCAGCTGGGGCCCGTGCTGACGCCGATGGCCGCGCGGAGCTCGCTGGGTCCCCAGCTGGCGGCGTGTGGCGCCAGGTTTGATTCCCGGGGGGTCAGCGCTTCGGCTCGGATCACCGAGCGCGTTGTTCCACTGCTCGAGAAGCGACTACTCGCCGATGTTCGAAAGAACATGTGCTCGCCTCGGTGGAATTGATCGTGCATCCCCCGCAACGGATCCAGGCCACTTGCGAGTAGGCACTGTGCGAGCAGTGGAGCGCGCTTGTCTAATTGGAGAGACGTTCTGCGTGGGATCGGCAGTCACGAGTTTGCACGGTTGATCGACCCCTTCTGTCGTCCACACGGGAGCGGAGGAGGAGGAGGAGGAGGAGGAGGAGGAGGAGGAGGAGGAGGAGGAGGAGGAGGAGGAGGAGGAGGAGGAGGGGACCGGATGTCCGTACCTTCTCCCGTGGGGCGGCGCGGGAGCGCGACGGTGATGATAGCTGCGTCTTCGCGCAGCGCGAGGTGAGGTGAGCTGGGGCTCCGGCTACCACGGCCTTCCACGAGCTCATCGCATCCTGTTCGCGTGCTGATGTCCGCGCGCGGCGCCGATCTATCTGACTTGGCGCAGTGGGGGTCTGTCGCGCCTCGACACCTCGAGAAGCCTTGCGTGCCGTGGCGATCGCACGAGCCGGCCCAGGAGCGATGCCCTCGGCCCGGAGCCGCCACAGACTCCCCCCCACCACTTTGGGAGCTGGTGCACGGCTGTTGGCGATCGGCGACCGGCGATCTGCGACTCACGGTCGAGAGATCTAAGCATAGCGGATGTCGGGATACGGAGAGACGACGTGCAGCCGTCGACGTCCCAGGAGATAGAGAGATCTCGTTGGAGGAGAAGCGCTCCGAGTTCTTTTTCTGGCACCCTTATTCCTGATGTTCCCCGTCCAGTGGTTGCATTGAAGAGGTTTTCGACGTCTGCTGTCAAGAATTGCATATCGTTGCCAGGGGTTTCCGTGGCCGGCCGTGTCCCCGATGGTGCTGCCCTCCGTTGCTGCAGTTTTCCGTGGCTGGCCGTGTCCCCGACCGTCCCCGGCCCTGAGCCTGACCTCTGCTGCCGCCCAGTTGGTGTGGCTGGCGGTGTCCCTGGCTGCCCTGTCCCCCCAGTATCGTTTAACCGATCCCCCCGTCCCCATCCCCATCCACATCTCGAGCCCCACCGTCTCACCACCTCGGTTGGGGATATGCCCCTCGAAACCCGAAGGGAGCAGCCTACATCCCCATCCAGGGGGGTACATCGGCCAGTGGGGCCCAGCCCATGCTGGCGGGGATGGGGATCGGTTACGCTGCTCGTCTTAAGTCGGGCCTGTCCCTCTACAGGAGGGATATTCAAAAACAGTAAAAAAATAGTTCGGGGACGATTATTTGAATATTATTTGACCATTTTGGGGCATTTCTGGGGTATTTTAAATTTTTCGTCGAAAATCCCCCTGTAGGGGGACACGCCCGACTTAAGGCTAAACGCTGCTCGTCCCCGATGGCCCCCGGCCTCGGCGCTGCTCTCCCCTGCCACCCACACAAGCTCCCTCTGCCCCGCCCCTGCCCCCGACCAGGGCTCGCTTCGATTCCCCCGATTCGACTCGATTTCGATTTCGATGGACTCCGATTCCGATTCGATTCGACTTGTCTAGGCCTCCCAGATGGGGTCGGAGTAGATGGGGTCGGAGGATCGCCCCGCATCGCCGATGCATCGACGATGCGGCTCGATGCGAAGCCCGATCTGCTTCACGCCGACGTCGCCGATGCATCGCCAGCGTCGCTGGTGCATCGCCGATGCATCGCCGATGCCTCGGCGATGCATTGGCGATGCGGTACGATCCTCCGACCCCATCTACTCCGACCCCATCTAGGAGGTCTCTAACTTGGGATTCCGATCTGGGCTCCGATTCCTCACTGGACCCGTACAAGCCTGCCGATCTCTGCCGATCCGATCGGTGTCGATCGCCGATCCGACTCATCGATTGGATTCTGGGCTCTCCTGCCCGACCAGCCCCTGCCCCCAGCGCCAGCGTTGCCTTCTCCCCGGCGTCCCTCGGCCACGCTGTGCCACCGTGGTGTCCCCGGCCCTGGTGCTGCCCTCCGCTGCCGTCCGTGTCCTGGGCCGGCCGTGTCCGACGACTCTTCCAGCTTCAGTTCCAATGCCATGTCCGTTCCCACTGCCTTTCGAATTCCGGCTGCATTCTCACTGCCTTGCTCAGTGCGAAGGATTCCAGTTCCGCTTCTATTCAAGTGCCACCTCAATTCCAATTCCAATGCCAGTGCTAACTCACTCCGATTTCAAGTCCAGTCAATTTTGCCACCAGTGGCAAGTCGCCACTCAGCTTGCCACGCGTGATCACCATCACGGTCGTCTCCCGTCTCGCTCTTTGGGGTCCAGATCGGGCGTGGGGGGTGTCTCGCCCTTCTGGGACCCAGCTTGGGCGTTGGGCAGCTACGCCACGAGGCCCGGCGCACGCCAAAACTGTATAGGGCCCAGTGCGAGGGCGCAAGGGAGGGACCCACCCATCGACTTTGCGTTGCACATGAGGCTTTGTCCCGCAACTTTCTCACCGCTGCTGCGCCTGCGGTGGGCGTGACCTGCCCTCTCATCCAGACGCCTGTCTGATCTGCCACGAAGGTTGCACGACAGAGGGGCACATCCTGGGGACGCCCTGGGTGGGTCGATCTGTACCCCGCACTCGACTTGGAACTCGTTCACTGGGGGTCTTGCACCAGGGCCCAGGCTTTGGCAGGGCGCCGACAGCATTTTCTGTTCTCCGTGGCCCAGTAAAACAAAAGAAAACTCTCCGCAGGGCGAGGTCCGATTCTAAGCGGCATCGTGGCACATTGCCCAGGCGTTTTCGTGTCGTTTGGGGGCTCCAGCATCTTTTGATGGGCATCCCCGAAGTACACACGTCCTGCCAAGGACCGTCCAATCTCCAAACCACGGTGGGTTTGCGGAGCAAGCGTTCTTGAGTCTCTGTGTTTGTGGTCGTGTCGTCAGATGACCCTAGTCGTTTCTCATCCGACGTGGCACCAGCATCACACCCCGATCCATGATGTCCCTGTGCACTCACGGTCTTGGCGACGGCTGGGGCGCTGTTATACGCCACTGCCAGCAAGTTGTCTCCTTCGCGTTGGTCGGGGGGTGGGGTGGGGTGGGTGGGGGTGGGCTCCTCCTGGATATTCAGCCCAGTCCCCAGCTCAGACGATGGCTGCACGATCATTTAGCATGCTCGTTCGAGTATGATGCGCTCAGGTTGGGCCCTATTGGATCAGTGGTGGGAGCCGCGTCTGGCGTGGCTGTCAGTGGAGGGGCTCGCACATTGCTTCTCGCGCTGCCCCAGACTGTTAGCCTCCCGAACCACAACTACGTTTTCGAAGGACCTGGCAGGATGTACGGAGTGCATGATCAAAAGATGTATCTGATGCACGAGAACACGCTGCGACCGCAGATCGGACTGGAGGGCATGGTTGGCGCTGCGCTGGTGCAGGCGTCTCTGCGCGGCATTGTCAATCTCAAAGAGTACTACGATGGCAGCATGTCGCGTACGGATCTTGCCCTCAGTGCCCTGAGGGACTGCCGAGATGGCGCGGGCATCTGGGCCCTGAACAACGCCGTGCTGAACGGTCTGTCGGTGCTCGGGGAGCGCAGCGTCGGGCCAGTCCACGCCCTGGCGGCGCTCGGCCTGAAGTACCCGGCCCCGGTCATGCTGATCGTCATGGGTGCTGGCTGGGCCATCCTGCAGTGCACTCGATATTCCTTGTCGGTCATTGACAGGGAGGAGCTGCGCTCCGAGATGGTCCTCTCCGGCAGCTCTACAGCAGCAGCGGTTGTGACGAACGTCGTCCTCACCGCCGCAGGAGTGCCCGTACTCTTGCACATTCCGCTCACCACCTTCGCCGCCCGTTGCGCCGGAGTGGCTGCCTACGAGGCCTTCGGGAAACGAACCCACAGGGCCCCGAGACATTCCCGCACCTATGTTCGTCTCCTCCCTCCCTACCGCTACCTCGTCCTCGTCCTCCCATTCTGCCTCTTCCGCAGTCTCGTCCTTGTCCGTGGTCTGAAAAACCTGACTAAACCGAACGGTTTTAGGAGCAGCGAAGCCGATTTAGATGTTAGTCCGCGTGCCTTCGCACAGCGAACTATTGTAGGGACAAGTTGCACGTGTGGTGCGGAAACTTTGCAATCGGTGTTTCCCAGCGGGTTCATTTAGGTTTGATAATGCCCTTATGTTCATGCGCCAGTTCGCAAACAAGTCAGCAGTATGATACGTCGTACTGGCAAGCATAATCGGATTGCTTAGACCGTGCGACGTTTTCCAGAGTGCATTCGTAATGCGTCTTTATCTGCTATGCGTTACATTTTTGAGCTTGTGTGATGGTGCGGAGTTTTTGTAAAAAACGCACATGCATCGTGAAGCCAGGTCAGC